TTTTCAAAAAAAATTTATGTAAAGAGTAGAATGGAAACCATAAAAAACCCAAACCTTCCATGACACTTACTATTTACCAAGCGATATGATGTCTGTTTTGCTTTATTGATCGATTTTTTTATTCGCTCTTACAATTGTATTTTGGGTTTTTTTTGCATTGTATTTTACTATAGAATGTGAATTCCGGACATACTTATGTATAAACAATCAGATATGCATGAATATAATATTATGTTTTTTGTATAAGTGGTATACATATATGCACGTTATGTATGCATATTTTATCCAGTACTGAAGTACATATGTACATATATTGAAATTGAGGTAAATTTCGAAAATGGTACATACATATATATGGTATTTGTTTGGATGTGTTTGAATATTTATTTTATGTGCTTAAATTATTATAAAACGTGTATCTATACAATAAGGTTTATAAATACATATATAAATGTATACGTACATATATACATACATATATGCATACATATATGCAAACGTATGTATACATACATTATGTTGATACTCGTCTAAAGGCTTCTAAAAAGTGAAATAATATTAACGATTGTATATATGTACATATGTATGTACCTATGTGTTTACGTACATATATACATACGTAAGTATGTATGAATGCAAGATCCAGGGTAAAAAACATTTTCAAAAGATTTTGTTTTATTTTTTTCAGATTTCGTTTTTTTGTCTTTTTGAGCAAAATGAGTTTAAAAACGAGAAAAATGAGTTGACGAATTTGTTATGTGCGAATAAATTTGCCATAGCAGATTATGGGCAGACCTTAAGTTGTCGTCTTTTTGAGCAAAATGAGTTTAAAAACGAGAAAAATGAGTTGACCGTGTCAACTCTGTGATACCCGTACGAATTTGTTATGTGCGAATAAATTTGCCATAGCAGATTATGGGAAAGACCTTAAGTTGTCGTACCACATTAATTTATGCAAAATTTCAGTACTATGTTTCCAATATTTTCTAAGATATGGCCAAACTACTACTGGAGTTGTATGGCTGCTACCAGAAGGAGCTAAGCAATTTCAACGATCAATTTTATCAAACGCATTGGTCTTACTATAATATATTCGCTTGTGTGAAATTTCAATACCACAGCTTTTATAGTGTCTGGGATATAGCCAAATAACTTTTGAAGTTGGGCAGTTACCCGAACCAGTACCCCGACCATATCCAATTTAAATAGGGTTCTGACATTTACTATAATAAATCATTTGTGAAGATTTGGTGAGCTTAGCTGAATTAGTTTTTGGGTTATCGTTGGGACAGAAAGACAGACAAAGCTAAATCGACTCAGAATTCGACGCTGATCAAAAACATACACTTGAGTCTATATCTAAGACCATTATTTCGAACACACGTTCGTACGGGTATAAAAAGTTGTAAACGATTTATTGATGAGCTAAATTCCATCAGCAAAGTTAAGAAATAGAAAAAAACGTGTTATACATATGTATGTATGTATTTTTTTGTAAAATATTGTATACACACATGTTTGAGCATCATACGTACATACTTATACGTATATTTGTTCCCATAAACCTATACATACCTATGTATAGATGAATAGAAGCATATAATGCAGTTTTTAATTACGAAAACAAAAGCAAAAAACATCGTCGACTATCCATATATAAAACAGTACGGGAATATTGAAGTGGAAGCAATATCGTAAGATAAACATAAATTTAGTTGAATTCTTCATTAAGTTGAAAAATTTTGTAATATTATGTTACTTGTCTGCATTTATATTCATACATATGTATGTATGTACTTATGCACTAATATTATTATTATATATTAAATAAAAACATCTATATATGTATATATACATATAATCTCTGTGAGCAATGTTTTTAGTGATTCTTTCTTGATATAGTGTTCCCGAATTTTTAAATGTTGTGCAGAAATAGACATAAATATAAAAAACTAAACACAAATTTTAGTCTGAATTTGAAAGTTAAAAAATAGAAAAAATTTTAATAAATCAATATTTAAAATAATACACATAATTTACACGAACATACACACATTTATTTATCTTAATCGGTGCGTGTATGTGGCGTTTGCAGCTCTTGTGCATACATATTTATGTATGAGTGAATAATTAGAATGATTACCTATACAGTATAAATAAATCTCTCCTCTGCGATTGAAGCGGTAATTTGAGTAATAGATATTCGTACATACGTAAAGAGACACCTAAAGACTTGAAATTCGGCGCAAATGCTTATTTTTATCATTTGCTAATCGCTATTGCTAATTAACAATGTCTGTCAACAGGAACAGATATCACCTTTACAATGTTCTAGCAAAGGCTTTAAAAATATTAAATAAATAAACGCTTAATCCTTTAAGATATTTTGAATGTCTCCATAAAATTTCATCGACGATGTTTTTGAATATCGATCTTGCAAGGTTTAAGTTGCGAAATAAATTGATAAACATTAATACTCTAACAACTCAATTTACGAAAAATATTTGGATATGTTTTAGAGAGCCTGTTTATGTATGTAAATCTATATGTATGTGTATATGTTTTTTAAAGCTTTATACATTTCAGAAAACATTCTTTAAAAATCATGCATTTAATAAATTAATAATACAATATTTGAGTAAAACTATTATAAAAATACTACATATTTTATTCAAGAGCTATTATGGGACAGTACTTAATTGAGGATATCAAATGCGAAATTGTAATAAGGATCTCTTTCAAATCGTTTAAGAGTAATCGGGATTTCAAAAGGCTTCTTTAATGGCCTTTCGTTTTAAGTCCGCTGTTTATTTCAACACAGTGATATATATATATATGTAAAAAAAATGAGCCTCATTTGAAAGTTGGTTTAGCAAGATATTATGGATCATAATTGAATCTCTTTCTTTAGTCCGAAATTCTAAATTTATAAAGAAGAAAAATAAAATTTATAATTTTTAAAGAATTTAAAATAATGTTATAAAATTCAGTAAAAATGCCATTTCCACGAAATACTTTAACTTAACAATTATATTCTTTCAAATTTTAAGAGAAGAAGAAAGATGTTTTTGCATACCTTTTCATAATTCATATTTTACATAATTTTCACTTGATTTGCATATGTTACTATTTTACTATTTTGTATGTTACATGTAAATATGAAAAGTTTAAAAATCAGAATAAAATGCTAATAAAAGAAAATTTTTCTCTTACCTTATGGCTTAATTCGCCAAAACAATATTTTTAGCTTTGCACCAAATGCCCAAGTTGAGATAAACTTTAAATATTTCCACAAATATTTGATGTCATTTGCTAAATAATAATAATAATATTTATTTATTTAATTTTTCGTTATTGATCTTATAATTGATCGCTCCACGCGCGCGGGTTGGGAAGAATGTATGGCCGTGAAACATTATTATTATTATTTTTATTATTATTATTATTATTATTACTATTTTTTTTTATTAAAAAAAAGTAACCTTTTATAAACATGATATAATCCGCTTCCTTGCTCAATTAGTAATTATGAAGTTAATTGTTAACTGTTACTTACCAGAATAGAAGCTAATTGCTTTTTTCCTAATTCAGTTTAAAGTTTCAAATGCTTGAAATACCCTAAACAAACTTAAGTCATTTGTGCTTGTTGCCTCAAAATTATAGACTGAAAGTTTGGTTTTACATTTTCCGTTATTGTATTTCTTTATTTTGTAGTGGATTTTCGATAATGGTGCTAACATTGTTTGAAACTCGAAGATTTCTTTCTCCTTTTCATAATATTAAAAAAAAGGCAATTGATCCTCCGACGTGATTTTATTGACTTGTACTAAGAGAACGGTGTACTATTTTTATAATATCTACCACAATTTTTATGAGAGTAGGTTAACTTTAGTTATAAAGTCATATTTATTATAAGTTTATATAAGTATGTTTTAGTTATAAATAAATTTATATACTTTAAACAATTAAAAATATTTTAATTATAAATAATTTTTCAAAAAAACAATTTTTTCTTCATCTTATATAAGAGTATCTTATATATTGTTTTAATGGTAATTCCATATCTTCTAATGTAGTATCACAGTAATTTTTATACTGTTTAAGTCTTTTTTTATTATGTTGTAATACATTTAAATTTTTATTTGTGTATTTCACTATCTCTGGCACAAGTTTTTCACTATCTCTGGCACAAATTCCCGTATTTGATGCCACCATTTTCCTAAGCAAGTTTTATATAAAAGTTAAGTTTATATTTAAATATGTTGAACTATCCTTAAAATTTTTTTCCACTAATTGTATAAAATTAGAGATAAAATATTTAGACATATTTTATAATGAAATCCACCGGTACTTTTTATAATAATTAATGCAGCTTAATGTTTTTTTCTGCGATAGTACAAATACATATTTTATTCCTTATTTTGAGATAGCTCAGTTATAAGAAACTTGTAATAGTAAGAAGTTTCAGAAATATGTAACTGCTTTTTGTTAAATTTCTGTTCAATATCTCCATTTAAACTCAATTATAGATTTGAAAATTTCTCAAAATCCTTTACGTAACCTTGACAGAAAAAAAGAAAATTCTTTGAATACTTTGCTTTTTTTAGCCTTTCCTTGAAGACACGATAATGTGAATTGCAGGTGATGAAATCAAATAAAAAATAAATTTCTAAAATATTGTTTATGATACTTTTTAACATTTACCTGCAGGGTGTGTAACGAATTTTTTAACTATTGTTTTTACTTGGAATTTTAAAATTAGAGAGAGTTAATCCTTTAAAACTTTCTAATGAGAAATTGAATACAATATCAAAATATAAAAAATGCAATAAAAAATGTGAAAGTTTGCAAACCTTTTTTATTTGTTACTAATAAAATAAACATAAAAGAAAGTAGAAAAAAAATATACTTTGCTTAAAAGGAAAAATATAATTATGGTTAAAAAATTAAAATGTTGTTCAATATTTAACTTTTAAATTTTTAATTCTTTCCTTTTTTAGGTCCAAATGGTTGTCCTAGACGAAGAGGTCGTCAAACATATACAAGATTTCAAACTCTTGAGTTAGAAAAAGAGTTTCATTTTAATCATTATTTAACACGAAGACGAAGGATTGAAATTGCGCATGCGTTATGTTTAACCGAACGACAGATAAAAATTTGGTTCCAGAATAGACGAATGAAATTAAAAAAAGAATTAAGAGCTGTTAAAGAAATTAATGAACAGGTATGTAAAAAATAGCAAAATATTTCTGCTTATAACGGATATCTATTAGATAGAAAATATTTTTAATAATTTTTATTTTGACAAATAGGATTTAGGACAAATAAGAGACCGAATAGGAGTAAATTTTAGTATTTAACAAAATATTCTTGAATTCAATAATTTGACAATATCAAACAAGTCAAAAAAATTTCATTGTTTACATTACGTGGTATTGTTGTAATTAGGATTACGTGTAGAAATGTAACCTCCAAGAAAAGTGGAGACTCAAAAACTGCATTTAAAATATTTGATTCAAAAATTGCATTTAAAATGTTGAAAAATTTTTAATTTTCAAACATTATGGCAACTTTAAAATTGTTTGTTTTGTAAAACAAAATATATTACTTCTTTGATAGGCTTTTTCGAGTCAGAAAGTCGAATTCAATTTTGTAGTAAAAATCTGTCAATTAAAATTGAACATGTAAAACTACAATATAACTATACACCATGAGAAATTGAAGACCGGTCGGCCAAAAAAAAAATATATATATATAATATATTTAATTCTTTTAAAATTTTCTTTCAAATTTGTCATCCATCGGTCATTTTTTGCTTTTGTTTTTACGAAACTCTGTCTATCTCCAAAATGATTAGAAATTATCATTAATACTTTTTCTTCAAATTGACTGAAAAAAGTAACAAATTTAGCAAAACAAATTTGAAACAATAGGTGTTAGATAAGATATAAGTTGGATGTATTTTAGTTGATTTTCGAAGAAAACGTAATATTAACCTTGAAAACAACGATATTTATAATATTTTTATAACAATAAAGTAATAATAAATAAAATAGGAAATATTTTATTTAATAGTTTAAATTACAAAAATGAAATAAATTAATCCAATATTCTTCCTTTATCTTAATTTGTAATCCCTCTTAAATATATACATTCAATCGGGTGGCTTCATATTTTACAACGGGAATAAAAGAGTATAAGAGAAAAGAAAGTTAACCGATTAAAAATATATAAAATATTGCTCAATCTCCTTAATTTATTCAACCAAATTCTTATCATTTTATATTTAATTTCCAGGTATATGCAATGACATTTAATGTCAAATAATGTTATATTAATTATTATTTAATATTAAAAAAGTAATACTTATTCGAAATTATTAAAATCATGAAAACTACCAGTCCAGTAATTTAAAATTATGAAAAAATTACTTACTTTGAAACTTACTATTTTATTTATAGCGCAATTTTTTTTTAGTTTTCTTTTGAAATTGTGCATTGATTATAATATTGTAACAAAATATAATAAATATTTATAATATTTTAAAATTTATTTTCAGGCACGACGGGATCGTGAAGAACAAGAAAAAATGAAAGCACAAGAAATGAAATCCGCCCAACATAAAGTCAATCAACATCATGATCATTCATCGATTGTATCATCACAAAATTTAGGTGGTAGTCACTTACATCATTCAGTTGTGCAAAATGATTTAAAATTGGGCTTGGGAATGGGTGTAGGAGTTTCGAGTAATTTAGGAATGATGGGTTCACTCGATAAAACCAATCACGATATATTGAAAGCAGTCAGTAAAGTTAATTCATAAATAAATAAATTTAATTAATTTAAATTATTATATATATATATATATATATATAAATACATATACATTTAAATACACAGATATATGAGTATAAAAATAATATTAATATTAAAATTAAATACACATTCATTGATTTATAAGACTAAATAAGTTTTAACAGAAAATAAGTTTTTTTTTATATTATATTTAAAAAACAAAAAGAAAAAAAAATAAGAAAAGAAAAACCATTTAAAAAAATTAAGGTGTGCGAAAAAAGTAAGTGTGGTTTAAACTAAAGGAATATTTCAATATAATTAATGAAATAATTTGAATTATAGTCTATAGTATTCAAAGAGAATTAATTTGGTTATATAAAAGAAAAGTATAACAAACAAAAGGTAAAATAAAAATGAATATCGTGGAGAAGGCAGAAACTCATTTCCGAATTTCATCATAAAATTACATTCAAATTCTGTAATATTAAACATAAAAAACTAAAAATTAAACGTTGAATTTTCATAGTAAAAAATATTAACGGCAAACCATTTTATTATTTCAATATTGTTTTAATAATGTGCGAAAAATGTGCAATTATTAGATATTTTTATTTCTTATTTCAAAAATCAATTTCGATAGAAACAAAAAAATCCTAAAATATTTAATTGTCGATATTCTGACCTAGCATTGAACTTGTTTGCGTTTATAGTAAATGAAATTCAATTATTTTGGGTTTCAATAAATGTTTGTTCTTTGCTAAATATTTTTTAAATTTATTAAAAAAAATGTGAATAACCAAGAAAAAACAAAAAAACAAAAATACGTAAATAGTTGCATTTTTTGTAACTACAAAAAAATAAACGTATATTTTTAAAAATTTAGATTATAATTATAAAAGTTATTATAATATAATATAGACATATATATATATATACATATACAAAATAATACAAAATATAAAATCATTAATACACTATTAAATATGTTCGTAAAGATTACTTAAAAACAAACTCTTTATATATTATAAGAACTCAAGGAAAAAGAAAAACAGATATTAAATTTATGTATGAAAAATTACCTAATTTTGTAAATAACTTTAAAAATGATAGAAATTACAAGAAAAAATACAATGCCATAGTTTTAACTGTATTTTTAATTTAATTTATAAATTAACTTTCATCACATTGTGTAAAATTATTTATGTACGTAATATACATATATGTATACATATAATATATGTAGATATGTATACTACATATATAATACATATATACATAAACAAATTTTAAATAAATCAAAATTTTTGTACTAAAAATTAAGAAAAAAACACAAAAATAAAAAAAATATTCTAACAGAATCACTTTAGAAGTAAAAATTTCTGTTAACAATGAAATATGAAATATTTTTACAATTTGCCAGTGAAAAAATAAAAAATTATCAAGTTAAAAAATAAATACAAGAGAAAAATGAGAAAAAAGGGAAAAATGGTTAAATTAGTAAATATTTTTATGCTACAGAAGAAACTTGCAAATACAATTTATTTTTTTTTTCAATTAATTACATGTAGATTTCTTTAAAATGAATAAGAGTTAGTCAGAAAATTTCTATAACTTATAACCCAGTACCTATACTTAAGTTTTTTTTTTGCTTAATTGTACCTACAACCCATATTACAAAAATAGTATTCCTTAAAACGAAAAAGGTTTAAAAAAATAAAATTAAAAGAATATTATAAGAAGTTCTTAAAAAAATTATCAAATAGTAGTTTTTAAAACAACTATATTCTCATATACGTATTAGAAATTAAGTGAATATTTTTTGAGCGCATGTATTTTAAAAGTAACTTTAACAAAAACTTATAAAATATTATAAAACAGAAACAAAACAAAAAAAAAATTAAAAACTTAAAAAATTAAAGTTAAATTAGTTATGTAACTTATACGTAAAACTTCCTAAAGATTTAATTTAAATATTAATAATATTGGTAAAATTCAATCTTAAAATTAAAAATAATTTTAAAATTATTTAAAATAAATCACAAAATTTAAAAAAATCTCTTTCCCTCTTATTTTTTTTCTGCATAGCTACGTAATAAATTTTTAATATCAATACATATACACTTAAATTTACAATTATCATATTATAATAACATATATATGTATATAATGTATATTTTGGAAGATGACTTTTAAAGATGAAAATTAAATGGATTCTATCTTTCTTTCTATCGTATGCATTTTATACATATATACCTATATTATAATGTATATAACTGCATATGTGTGCGTGTACGTATAATATTTATATATATATGAATTTACAAATTATAATATATATTATAAGAGGGCTCAGAAATGAGATTTCTATATTAATTGGTTGTTGAGCTTTTTATAAAAGCGACTCAAGGAAAACAAAACAAAAAAATAACAATAATAAAAAATGAAATAGTAAAAGGACAGGACGGAAGATTTAAAAGTTTAGAATTAAATAACTAAACACAAAATTATATGGAAAAGTATATAAAATATACGAAAATTGTTTGAATCTAATATTTGAAAATTAAAACTTGAACAGAAAAAATTTATTTAATTTACCATTTAGTTCATTTTGAAATCAGTTTCTTAATTTCATCAAACATAATTTGGTTCATATTGATGCCTACCTCTCAAAAATATCTTTCCAAGCTCCTTTTAATATTTAGAATTAAATTATTTACAATAATATAGAATGATTACCTATAGATATCCATATCTTGAACTTAGTTTTTCCGTTAATATTTTATATGATATGACAATACGCCATATTGCGCATATTACGCATGCATGTTTCTGTTATTACTGTTTCATATAACTTTTCATACTTTCAAAAATTTTACTAAATTTGGAATGAAATAAAAGTAAGCAAATGTAAAAAGTTTCTGAATTTCTTAAAAAATATTTTTCAAGTTATTTTTTCATATTAGATTCTTTCCACTGTTCTTTAATAGTTAAAAACACGACCACTTTTGTTTTCTATATAGTTACCTATTTTTTAATTTGAATTAATTTCGTTTTGTTTTTAAAAACAAAATTGAAATACATACTCTTGTTTATAAGTTTCTTATACAATTTTTTCTCTTTAAAATCCAAAATGCTTTAAATTTTAAATTTTATTTTCGTTATTAATTTTATTTTTATTTTTTAACTAATTTTTTGTTTTGGTCTTAGCATTGTATTTTATATATTTAAATGTTAAGTAAAAAAAAAAGATGTAAAATGATAACTTTTTTTAACTATCCCGCAATTGAACATATATTTCTGTTTTTTCTTGTCAATGTGCGGATTTTTGAATTATAGTTATTCCATTTTTAGTTTTTATATTTCTTTTAATGTATGTATGTATTTTAATATTAAATCAAATACTTTTAATATTGTTTTAGTCAGTTGAAATTTTTTTATTTGTAAAATTTTGTTTTAAAATTTTATTTAAAATTAATTGATTAATAAAAATGGATACTTAAAATGACTTGTGGATATTTTTATTTTTTTTCTTCTTTAATTTTTTTTAGTTTCTTTATAAATAATGAAAATATTGTTATTTTTCCAGAATATACTTTAATAAGTAAAATTAACAACATCCGTTACCGTTAAATTAACCGTTTACAAAATTTTTATTTCTGTTTATTGTTTTAGCACACAGCTTTTTGTAATATTTTTAAAGGAAATGTAACAAAAAACGTGTGCCATTATTCTTAACATAATCGAAATAATCAAAATAACTTTTTTTTAGGAATATTATTTAGAAATTAATTTTTTAGTTACAAAATAACTTATATATTGATCAAGTATACAAACAATTTCGTTACATAATTGAAACGTCATAATTAAACAAAACAGAATTTATTGAATGACAGTGCTCAAATATACATAGATGTATACATAGAGTCTTTAAATTACAATATTATTTCATATTTCATATAAATATTTAATATAACATTTTCTTTAAAGAGACATAATAATTGTATTTAAAATTAACCGTTTCCTAAAGTGAAAGCTGATCTAATCACATAGGAACTTGACTTAAATGAAAAAACCGTATTCGTAATTAGCAGTTTATAAATTAAATTAAATTCATTTAAAGTTATTTTCTCTACGCTTCCGTTTTAAATTTTGAATGATTATTTAGAATTTTCAATATTCATACATTTTCTTTCTTGCAACATCTGAAATATAATTTGAAGGTATTTAAAAATTTTTATTTTACGTGTCTTAAAACAAATAAATTTTGTGCCCTTTGCATATTTAATCATAAAAGAATAAAAAAAAATTGGAGGATTTTTTTTCTTCTAATAGAAGATTGTTTTCTTCTATACTCAATCCAAAACATAATTTCATATATGTATGTTTACATATATTTTTTAATAAACAAGACAAACAGCCCTATCATGAATTACGTTCGTAGCTCTGAAATTCGGAAAATAACGAATATAATATTATTATCAATTTCGAATTACTAAAATTTTTCTCCGAATCTTCGTAGTAAAGCAATCGTAAATTACGTTCATAGTAAAACTTACCCTCAAATTTGAAAGAAATATTCACAAAACTATTTAAAGAGAATAGTCGTAATAAATTATTGAAATTTTAATTTGTTTAAGTTACTCTAACACAGCTACTATGAAAGGAAATGACTTCATATTGCCAAAAACAATTTTTTTCCACTTTTCAAAAATACTCAAAAACTAAAAAAGCTGCAAAACTTTCATACAAAAGGAAATTTTAAAAAATATCCTTTTGCATGAAAGTGGTTTACTGAAACAGCAACCAAATTAGCAAATGAATTTTTTTTTTTACATAAGCTTTCGATCTTTTTTTTTTGCATTGTTGGCAGTAATTTTTAACTTCTTTTATAAAGGAACATAATGGTGTGAAGGAAAATTATTGACTTGGAAAATAAAATAAAATTATTTTGCGAATTTTTTATATGAGATCAAATCTCATATTCTCAAAAATGGCTGGGATACTATATTTTACATTTTATTCTTTATTTAAATTGTATTAATATGAGAAATCAATTGTTTTCAATTTATTAATCAAATATAACATAGAAAAACATCCAATTTATTTATCAAATATAACTTGATAGTTCTAAGTATTTTTCACAATGTAAACATATTTACCATAATATTATTGGAAAGAGATATTTACATACATAATAATAATAATTGAAAAACCAAATATACGTAATAATACAATGTTTTTTTAATACAACTTTTAAAATGGAAAGCTTATACATAAATATATTTACATAATTATAATTCAATTAACATAAGAAAACACCCGGCGAAAAATTGAATTATGTTCTAAATAATAATTATAAATATTATAATAAAACGAAGATTTGGTAATTAAAAATTTTTGCATTTTATAATACA